CAGCAAGAAGGTCGCTGTTCGAACCTCGGCTCAGTTGGCGTTTCTGTGTGGAGTTTGCATGTTCTCCCTGCCTTCGCGTGGGTTTCCTCTGGGTGCTCCGGTTTCAGTCCAAACACATGCAGTACAGGTGAATTGGGTAGGCTAAATTGTCCGTTGTGTATGAGTGTGTGTGTGGATGTTTCCCAGAGATGGGTTGCGGCTGGAAGGGCATCCACTGCGTAAAAAAACTTGCTGGATAAGTTTGCAGTTCATTCCGCTGTGGCGACCCTGAATTAATAAAGGGACTAAGCTGAAAAATATGAATGAATGAATGAATTTCACAATGACATACAATATCAATATTGATTAATTTATTCTTGATTTGTTTATTATTATTATTATTATTATTACCACTATTAATTTATAACAGCATTTTTGATCCACTTCAAATGTTGGCTAGTGTTGTTGTAGATAATACATTGTTTTACACATTTAAACATTAATAATAAACTGCTTTCAAAAGTTTTTAAAATATTAAATGGAGTGTGAAATAAAGTAAACGGTTGTGTAAAATACAGTGTTGTGTAAAAGACCCTGTTGTTGTTTCTCAGCTGCGCAACAGAGTGAAAATGTGTGTTATGTTCTGGACGGGATCCTGATCGTTTACGGGATTGTGCTGACGGTGCTTTACTGCAGATTAAAGGTGAGCATCATTTCTGTTCACACACACACACTTTCAACAGCTTCACACACACTTACTGCCAGTAAACACACGCCGTTTGAGATTAAAGATGTCCATGAGGATTTAACTAATGTCATGTTTTTCCTTGTAAGATTAAAATAATTATCTAAATATTCAAATTTCGTTCATTAATGCCTCATTTGACTTGTATATATGAGATATCAGCAGTGTTCATTATTTACATTCTTTTTATTTTATTTATAATTATGAACTTCCACCATTTGATTGAGCTTCAGATTAATCTCAAAATATTTGTTTACTTGTTTTTAAATATTATTATTTGCACTCTTTTCTAAGAGGAACTACTTTCAACCGTCGTTTATTCACATCTGCAGCTGATGTCAGAACAGCAGAAGCCGCTACTCATTCACCAACCTCACTTTAGAGCTAGTGTTTATGTGATTCTCTAGCGTAATGTCTAAAGCAATGACAAAACAGCAGATTTTGCTCACATTTTAAGATTATAAGGCTGAACAGCATGAAATGCCATCAGTCTACAGAGATTTCCCTTTATTTCTCTGTTGCAATCAGGAGATCACAATAACTAACCATATAAGCCAAAGCGAAGCAAACACTAGCAGATTACTATGGTATAAATACAGCACACAAAAGGGAGAGATTGCCATACCTGTTTAATAATGATTTGATCAGCTATAGTTGGAAATTATGCTTAGTTTTCTCCTCTAAGGGCTGATTATGCGGTCTCTGTCGCCATCTTGTGGTGGAGCATCAACCGTCTCTGCTCTGCTCAGTATGACAGGCTGATGGATGCTGTTGTGCTGTCTCTCAGAAATTATAAATATTTAAAATAGGCACTATCCTTATAAATAAACTGCACAGTTGCAATCTAAACAACTACATTCTCCACTAAAAAAACCTTAAAAGTGCATTATGTTGTCCAACAGCAGGAACATTTGTCAAACTGTAGTGAGTTGCTAGTTTACACAAGGGTGAAGGGGCTGTATG